AATGATATGGTGATAGAGTGGAACACAATACCCATTGCTTATCAAATATATTCACTTAAGAAACTTTGCTCTGTCTAACATTTTCTTGAAGGCATTTTTCACATCTTTATTTCTTAAACTATAGATCAAGGGGTTCAACATTGGAAACACCACGGTATAGAACACTGACACTACTTTGTCGCGTTCTAGGGCATAGCTAGTGCTTGGTCGGGAGTAAATAAAGAGAATGGAGCCATAGTACAAAGTGACGGCTGTCAGGTGAGAGCCACAGGTGGAGAAGGCTTTGAAGCGGCCCTGAGCCGAGCGGATCTTCAAGATGGCAGCAATGATGAAGAGATAGGAGGCAAGGATAATCACGGTAGGCATAATGACATTGGAGGCAAGTATGAAATAGAGCACAGCCTGGTAACTCTCCTTCACATCACATGCCAACTTCACAAGTGGGGGAAGATCACAGAAGAAATCGTCGATAATATTGTTGCCACAGAAGCTCAAAGTAAATGTTTCACTGGTGATAATAGTTGAGTTAATAAAGCCACCAAGATATGAAGCTGCCACAAGACTGGCACATAATCTTGGGGACATAGCCTGGGAATAAAGCAGGGGATTCGAAATAGCCACATAGCGGTCATAAGCCATGGCAGCTAATAGATAGCACTCACTGTAGGCCAGTCCAGCAGAGAAGAAGAACTGAGCCAGACATGCAGCAAAAGAGATACTTTTGTCCGCAGAAAGGCAGGTCATTAGGATCTTGGGGGCATAGACAGAGGAATACCAGAGATCCAGGAATGACAGGTTCCCAATGAAGAAATACATGGGTGTGTGGAGCCGGGAATCACCACAGATCAGAGAAATAAGAGTGATGTTCCCTAAGAGACTGATGACATAAATAATAAGGAAGATGAAAAAGAGTCCTCTCTGTAACCTCAAATCAGCCGTGAACCCTAAAAGTATGAACTCCTTCAGGTTGGTGAAATTTTTCTCTTCCATTGATTTGGAGCTTCGATGATCCCTCTCTGTGAAATAATTAATAAATAGGTCATGAATTAAGAAATAGTATCCCAATCTTCTGTCTCCCATTTTAGACAATGGGAAAAACAACAACAAAAAAAACTGCTACATGGACATTGTTCTTGGTAAGATGCATTTCTACTGACCTGTGTTGTACCCTTTTTTTTTGTATACCTGGGAAATTAGTTTTATACTATGGTCTCAAGAGCTCAGTTATTATACACCTGACATACTGTGCATCATCTTATATTTTTAATCTGTGTGTGTGTGTGTGTGTGTGTGTGATTAGAAGAACTTTCTCCTCTGATTGCACTGGGGGTGATTGATGACCATGTGACCAAAACACCCGATCCCACTGTCTTTGAGTCAATTCCAACCCATAGCGACCCTCTATCGAGTATCTATGACTGCAAATCTTTATGGAAGCAGACAGGCCCCTCGGTGTCCCTTGGAGCAGCTGGTTGGTTGGCAGTCCCAACACATCCTTCAGTCCCACTGGCGCCATCATGTGAAGCACACAAAAAAGACAGTTTGAAAGAATGCTCTGACAACAATTCATGTCTTTGAGTCTTTGTCTTTTTCCTGGAAATAATACAGAGAAGCTGATCTTAATATTGTAACAGAACTTTGAGATATCTCTGGAGGTTCACTAAACTGTAATATCCTTGAAAGTAACAGCTATATCTTGTTCATCTTTTCACCACAAAACCAAGCACAAACATTGCCCTAGTGTGGAAGTTCAGTGGACTGAACAAAAGACTACAGAGCAACTGTAGAAAACTGGAATTTGAGCCATGGCTACTTTTATGATCTTCAAACATATTCTGAGTTGATGACACTAATTGACATAATTATGTTCATCATGTTGACTGCATTTTACCTAAAATGAATCAGTTTTTAAAACCTGGCTACACTAATGGTTTGGGGGATTTACAGAACATAGGCTCTAACAATCCTCAGGGATAAAAGTGGAAGATCGGACCATTGCACACGTGGTAAAAGTGTCATAATCTGCTTCTTTGTTTCAACCCCTAGGACCTGTGCTATAACTGATCACAATCCAGGAAGAACTAAATCACTATCACCAGGATTCTGAATTGATAGGTGATATAAAAAACTTTGCCGGTACATTCATGCTTTCACACTTTCTTAGGCTAGAGGAGGAAAACAAAACCAAAGCTACTTACTTTGCCCATCATGCTAGGTCAAATCCAACTGCCATTGAGTAGGCTCTGACTCGTAACTCTCCTTTAGCGGCTTTGCAAAGCTGTCTTTATGGGAACAGATAGACTCATCTATCGCATGAGAGGCAGCAGATTGATTTCAACAACCAACCTTACTTTTAAATTAGCAGGCCAGTGCTTACCCAAATGTACCAGTAGGGTTTATATATGCCAGGTCATGAACTTAAAATTGAACTTGAAAAATAAAGAATATTCTCTTAGCATTTCACCAATTTGAGGAGAGATCATTTTTTCCCACTTGAGTCATAGTTGTTATTTGTCATAAAGTCATGTAACTAAAACCAAATGAAACTCACTATCAGCAAGTTGATTCTGACTCAGAGCAGCCCTGTAGACAGAGAAGAACTGCTTCATAGGGATTCTGAAGCAATAAAGGTTTATGGACCAGGCAACCTCATCCTCCCACAGAGCAAGTGGTGGGTTTAAATCGCTGACCTGTGGTTAGCAATGGTCACGTTAAACCCATTGCACTGGTAAAAATTTCTAATTTTCAATTTCTAAGGAAGCATTTAATATCAAAATTATTGATAAAATTCATAACAACCAATAAAGGGTTGGAAAAGTGGCATTGAAGTTCTCTTCCTGTTTCAAGATTGTCAGTGACATTGTCATTTTTAAGTGAACCATATATCTAGAAGCAGTTTAGGACTCAGAATCAGAAGATGTTGATTATAATCTTAGTTGTCTGGTGGCAAATATCAATAAAACCATCCCAAGGACACCTATACCTTCTTACCTGTCTTTCTTAGTTCAATGGGACTTTATGAACTCAAATAAGCTCACATGTGATGAAAGAGTTAAAAGGTGGGAATCTCATTCTCTATAATTTCATAATTGCATCATCTCACATATATTTGATTCAAATCACCAAGATTTCCAATTGTACTCATTATTTATATGACTCCCAGAGTTTCAAAGATTCCTCTGGCAAAAATTATCCCTTTTTTAAGAAAAAAAAAAAGATTCCGTATTGATCATTTTTATCTCTAGAATTTCCCTATTAAGGGAATGGATAAAATATTATACATGCTATACAGGGGTCTTCAAAATGTTTCTGTAAAATTTCCATTATGGTTTAATAGCATTTTTCCCATTAATGTTTTCAAAGCTTCCTCATATTTAATAATATTCTTATTTACCTAGATACAAGGGATAGGTTTTTAGAGTGACATGAATTTTCCATTACTTCATGGATCTAAAGCTATACTTATTGGATTCAAAGTATGTTGGAAAGCTTTCTGCTCACAAAACATCTATCAGGCATCTTCCTTGACCAAGAAGCCTCTATCAGAAGTAGCTGCCTCTTGGTGTGGTCATACAGAAAGGAACTGACATTTTCTTGATTTCTTGGTGCCTTTCAAGGTTTAATTCACTGGTTCTCTGTGATTTCTAGTTTGACAATTTAATCAAATAATTCTTGAATTATATATTAATAATGAATATATGACATTGTCCTAAAGTGATAGTCAAGTATAATTGTGCTTCATCTCTCAAGGAGATTATATTTCAGGAACAGCGTAATAAAGAAATGAAGCATATTGGAGTTACAAAAATATTAACCCCCTTGAAGTTTTCTACACATTAACCTACTCTAATGACTAACACTGTCCCTTGAATAGCAACTGTGGAAATAGTAGTAGGCTACAGGTGCAGAGGGCTTATGAGAATAACATTATCTCCCAAGCACACATCAACTACACATCTAATTCCTTGCTTTGCTAAGAGAGGAAATAAGGCCTAAAGAGAGGATGCTTGAAAATATTTTATCTTTCTTCATCAATTAATACAGGGAAGAAAACCTTTTTCTTTGTCATGGAGTATAATTATAATATGGTTTTATTACATGGAAAACTTATTAATTTAATGAAACCATATTATAATATATCATTATATACAATAATTTTTCACCTTTTGCCTTTATTGAGATGAATTGTCCTTATCTCCCAGAGGAATTAACCAAGTTTATTGCATGATCATAAGTAGTCATTTTGTTTGCATTTCACCTGAAACCCAGAATTTCCCACATTACCTTAGAATTCAAAATGTCTTCTACTCATTCCACAAGAAACTTCTTAGTGGTAGCAATTCTAGGAGAACATATAAGTGTAAGCATCCCTTTGGGATGTTCCATGGAAAGCAAAGGGGATCTCCAAGTGCAACTCTGGTGCCTTGTGACCAATTACAATGCTCACCAATCTTTCTGGAAAGACGTGGAGAGGGACCATCATGAAAGCAATTGGCCCAATTAGCTTGGAAAACTCTTTTAACTTATGTCTCATTTATGCATTTGAGATTTAAAGAAAATCAAAATCAGAAAGCAAGAACTTAACAGAATATTCTGCAGAGAGGAGATGCTCAAGAATTTGCAACTCAAAATAATTATGAAAATATTATAGAACTGGTTTCCAGAAATGTGGTGATTACCACTCAGTGAAACTGGCTCATTCTACAAACTAAACTGAGAGACAGAAAATATAAAAGTCATATGGGAAGAAAAACCATATAGTTAGGGGGAATTTTAGCTCTATATTAGACCATGATTTTATGTTAGCTAATTGGGCAGTTCAGCGAGCACAGGAAGTATGCAGTGCAAATGAAAGGTTTTAAAATTGTTTTAATTCAATAGGGAGATATTGGAGAGTTTTGATTAAATGGCCACTATAACAAAATAGAATTTGAAGGGAAAAATTAAATATCTCTTTATAATGTGATGAAGACATAAAAATAACAGCTTCGCCAGATGACTATTACAGCAACCCTAGGGAGAGCTGATGCCATTTTGACTAGGGCAGCAGTTCTCTACCTGTGGGTTGTGGTGCCTTTGGGGGTGGAGCGACCCTTTCACAGGGGTTGCCAATTCATAACAGTAGCAAAATTACAGTGATGAGGTAGCAATGAAAGTAATTTTATGGTTGGGGAGTCACCACAGCATGAGGAACTGTATTCAAGGGCCATGGCATTAAAAAGGTTGAGAACCACTGGACTAGATGAGTACCTCTGGATTTGTAAAAAAAAAAAAAAAAAATAGATGGGTCAGATATTTAGAAGATATATATCTTCTAAATATCTGGTGGTTCTGAGAACTTTGAATTCCTAATATTCCTCAAATTGTATTAATGATGAAATCAGTTCCTTCTCAATCTCAAGGAAATCTTTTTACTCAGAAAAATAGAACAAAATAAAAAGAAAAATCTTTCAATGACTTTAGCTAATGCAGTTGATTTGAAAGGGTTGTCAATGTCTTCTCAGTCCATTCCACAATATCCATCTTTCTTCCTGGTCTAAAGGATAGTGAGATCCAATCATAGCCCAGAAGACCTAAGTCTACAGAATCCTTGTCCTTGGCTACTTATGATTCATGGGAAGCCATTGCCAAGTGTGCTTGTGAGAACTGTTAGGACTCATCCGAGGCCATGAAGAGCTCTTGGTAGAGCCAGTATGATAAACTGTCCTTGTCATGTTACTTGTATGTCTTACATTCTTTAGCCCTTCAGCCTCCATCCTCCTTTTAATCTGAATGGCTTTTTCTACCAATTTTTACTTTGGGGTCCTGTGTTAGTCTGGGTGCTTCAGAGAAACAAATCCACAGAAACTCAAGTATAGAGGGAGTTTTATATATAAGTTAAGTGTGCATCAAGAAAATATCCCAACCCAGTGCTGACCAAACCCACAAGTACAACATTAACCTATTAACCCACATGTCCAACACCAGTTCACAAAGTCCTCCTCCATCTC